AGCCAATCAATGTTTTGCTCTCAAATCATTTTTTTCTCTTTCTCTCTCTTTCTCTCTCTCTAAAAATCAATTAAAAAAATCTTTAAAAAAATCATGTTTATAAGGAACTCTCTTACGGTTTTTTCTGTGATGCCTGTATGATTGCTACCTGTATGCTTGTCTTCCATTTTCAACCTCACACTCCTTTGTAATGTAACCTGGTGTCGGGATGCATTTGCAAGCACGTGGACCCGGGATGGTTTCTCACAGCACCTCGCAGCGCCGCCTGCAGTCTGAATCGTCCGCACTTGGATCCGCGGTGTCACTGCGAATAGCAGGGGGCAGGCCAGTGTGGCTTTGGTGCTGAACTGCAGGTTGAATTTGTCCTGAAAACCATCGGGGTCGCCTGAAGGATTTTACCTGGGGAGTGACATGATCAGATTTCTATCCTAGAAACGTACCCAGGCACCCTGTTCCCAGCTGCTTCGGGGAGAACCTGTTATACTTGGAGCCTCACCACCCCTCACTGTCCCTCCCTCCCTGGTGTTGTCTGCAGGAGAGGGCTCACCCTGGTCTGTTGGCCACTCCAGTTTGTGGCCTAAATAGTTTCACGTGTGTTACTGTGATGCCTTTGGCTATTCTGTGAGCACCTTTCAGTAGGCACTGTTTTGATACTGTTATACCAGTGATTGATGTTATTGTAATTACTAACTACCATTGTGCAGTTAACATACAATAGGCTGTGTAGCAAGTGTCCTTGTACCTTTTACCAGATGTACACACATGTGTGTCATTGACTCACCCTCCTCGTAGCCTGGCTGCTTGCTGGCGCCTGTTGAACGGCGTGGTATTCTTCCTTCTTCCTGTCCGTCTGGTTGGTGGCTAGTCTGTCATCGCCTGCGGGCACCTTGCTCTGGTTGGTGCCACATGGCTGCCGTGGCTGAGCTGGCATTCCCTAGGGATGATGTGGGGGGTGGGGTGGGGAAAAGCCATGGTGTCCGTGATGCTCAGTGGTCCCCCACGTAAAAGCACCTGCTGGCTGCCGTGGGAGACTGAGCACACGCACCTGTGACGGGGGCACCTGTGACAGGGAGGCACCTGTGACATGGGGCACCTGTGACATGGGGCACCTGTGACATGGGGGCACCTGTGACAGGGGGGCACTGTGACATGGGGCACCTGTGACGGGGGGCACTGTGACATGGGGACACTGTGACAGAGGAACACTGTGACAGGGGGGCACCTGTGACAGGGAGGCACCTGTGACATGGGGGCACCTGTGACATGGGAACACCTGTGACATGGGAGCACTGTGACGGGGGGGGCACCTGTGACGGGGGGGCACCTGTGACATGGGGCACCTGTGACAGGGGGGCACTGTGACATGGGGACACTGTGACAGAGGAACACTGTGACAGGGGGGCACCTGTGACAGGGAGGCACCTGTGACAGGGGGGCACTGTGACATGGGGACACTGTGACAGAGGAACACTGTGACGGGGGCACCTGTGACAGGGAGGCACCTGTGACATGGGAACACCTGTGACATGGGAGCACTGTGACGGGGGGGCACCTGTGACAGGGGGGCACTGTGACAGGGGGGCACTCTGACATGGGGACACTGTGACAGAGGAACACTGTGACAGGGAGGCACCTGTGACAGGGAGGCACCTGTGACAGGGGGACACTGTGACAGGGGGACACTGTGACAGGGGGACACTGTGACAGGGGGCACTGTGACAGGGAGGCACCTGTGACATGGGGCACCTGTGACATGGGGGCACTGTGACGGGGGCACTGTGACATGGGGGCACTTTGACATGGGGGCACCTGTGACATGGGAGCACTGTGACGGGGCACTGTGACGGGGGGCACCTGTGACATGGGGACACTGTGACGGGGACACTGTGACAGGGGGCACTATGACAGGGAGGCACCTGTGACATGGGGCACCTGTGACATGGGGGCACCTGTGACAGGGGGGCACTGTGACAGGGGGGCACTGTGACAGGGGGGCACCTTTGACATGGGGGCACTGTGGCATGGGGGCACCTGTGACATTGGAACACCTGTGACATGGGAGCACTGTGACAGGGGGGCACCTGTGACGGGGGGCACCTGTGACAGGGGGGCACTGTGACATGGGGGCACTGTGACATGGGGACACTGTGACAGAGGAACACTGTGACAGGGAGGCACCTGTGACAGGGAGGCACCTGTGACATGGGGCACCTGTGACATGGGGGCACCTTTGACAGGGGGGCACTGTGACGGGGGCACCTGTGACATGAGGCACCTGTGACAGGGGGACACTGTGACAGGAGGACACTGTGACAGGGGGACACTGTGACAGGGGGCACTGTGACAGGGAGGCACCTGTGACATGGGGCACCTGTGACAGGGGGGCACCTGTGACAGGGGGGCACTGTGACATGGGGGCACCTTTGACATGGGGGCACTTTGACGGGGGCACTGTGACATGGGGGCACCTGTGACAGGGGGGCACTGTGACATGGGAACACCTGTGACAGGGGGCACTGTGACAGGGGGGCACTGTGACATGGGGGCACCTGTGACAGGGGGGCACTGTGACAGGGGGGCACTGTGACATGGGGGCACCTTTGACATGGGGGCATTGTGACAGGGGGGCACCTGTGACATGGGGGCACTTTGACATGGGGGCACCTGTGACATGGGGGCACTGTGACATGGGGGCACCTGTGACATGGGGGCACCTGTGACGGGGGCACTGTGACATGGGGGCACTGTGACAGGGGGGCACTGTGACAGGGGGGCACCTGTGACATGGGAGCACTTTGACATGGGGGCACTTTGACATGGGGGCACCTGTGACATGGGGGCACTTTGACATGGGGGCACTTTGACATGGGGGCACCTGTGACATGGGGGCACTGTGACGGGGCACCTGTGACATGGGGGCACCTGTGACATGGCACCTGTGACAGGGGGGCACCTGTGACGGGGGCACTGTGACAGGGGGGCACCTGTGACATGGGACTTGTGACGGGGGCACCTGTGACATGGGGGCACCTGTGACATGGGGGCACCTGTGACAGGGGGGCACCTGTGACATGGGGGCACCTGTGACGGGGGGGCACCTGTGACGGGGGGGCACCTGTGACATGGGGGCACCTGTGACGGGGGGGCACCTGTGACATGGGGGCACCTGTGACATGGGGGCACCTGTGACATGGGGGCACCTGTGACGGGGGGGCACCTGTGACATTGGGCCACTGTGACAGGGGGGCACTGTGACATGGGGGCACCTGTGATGGAGGGCATTGTGACATGGCACCTGTGACATGGGGGCACCTGTGACAGGGGGGGCACTGTGACATGGGGGCACCTGTGACAGGGACGGACGGGCAGACTGACACAGGAGTAGGATATAAGGGCCATGAGGAGCTTGGTGAGCAAGATAAATAATATGTAAACGTGGTACTTTAAAAAACTTAAAGTAGCTCATAATGAGCAGAATACTAACGTTTTAAACAAAGACAAGAGGAGGATCAGTGCTGTGCAAAGCTGTTTTGGAGCCCGTGGCACAATTTGGGTATTTGGTTTATTGTAGATTCTTTGAATTAACTTTGATTTTTACAAATGATTGCATTAAAAATTAAAATTGCTCATAGTGAGTTTTTTGGTGCCCCTTAAATTTTGCACCCATGGTGTGGGGGCTCCCTGGTGGTGGGCGGAGCGAGGACAGAGCTGCTGCCTCCCTGGTCTTGTGCAGGAATGCTGAGACTGTGGGCTCTTCCTGCAGGAGGAGCAGGCCCGCTCTGCCCCAGGGCAGCGGCCCCCGATGCGACTGGTCTTAAAGAATGTGGAGAGTTCACATGGGTGCTGGTCTTTTCTCTGAATATACACTTTAAGGGTTGCTAAGGGGACCTGGATACACACACACACACACACACACACATATGTACAGGGTGGGGCAAAAGTAGGTTTACAGTTGTGAGTATGCAAAGCACAGTTTATTCTTATATTATTTAACTAGAGGCCTGGTGCATGAAATTCATGCATGGTAGGGTCCCTAGGCCTGGCTGGCGATCAGGACCAATCTGTGGGGCGATTGGCGGGGTGATCGGGGCCCCTGCTTGCACCCACCTTGGCTGGCCTGGCACTGCCCGCTTGTCGCCCCTGCCCCCCACTGCTGCCGGTCACCTCCCTCTGTGGGACAACCAATGGGGCAATCAGGGGGGCCCCCGTTGGCACCCACCTTGGCTGGCAACCTGGCGCCGGCCGTTCGCTGGCCCCACTCCTTGCTGCCACCGTCGGGGCCTGCGGGCTGGCGGCAGCTTCTGCATTGAGTGTCTGCCCCCCTGGTGGTCAGTGCACATCATAGCGACCGGTGTTCCATTGTTTGGGTTGCATATTAGGGTTTTATTATATAGGATTATTGTATTGTTTTCCATACAAACAACTATAAACCTCCTTTTGCCCCACCCTGTATATGAGTGCATCACACACACACACACACACACACACACGCTACGAGAAGGTGTTTCCTACACCCACTCCCTAGTGGAAGGAAACAGGCCGAGCGCTCAGCGGTTCCCCCTCGCGCGGGGTGCAGTGTGGGTTCACAGCCAGAGGAAGCTAGAGCCTCCTGGAGCGCCCCCACCCCACCCCCGCTTCCTGAGAATTACTAGTGGTGTCGAGTCACTGGTTTAGGATCTCAAGCCTCGCCAAGATTTCATTCCTGGCCTTGTCACTTCTCTGCTTCGCAGTGACTATATCATGACTGAGGACATGAACAGAAACTGAGCAAATGCTGTGTTTTCTAAATTCCAGCTTTGGCAGAGTCGAAGCTGGTGGTTTTTCGTGGTTAGCACCGAGTCTCCTGTGGCCCTTTCTGGGCAGACTGGGTTGGTTCAAGGGGCAGACGGATGATGCGTGGTCCACCCTCACTGCGTGACTCTGGCTGGGTCGGGGGCGGGCGTAAAGGAAGACTGCGCTCAGCTTGCATGTCTTACAGCCTTTCTTTGCAACCCCGACAGGTCTGCTGAGAACAGACCCAGTCCCCGAGGCTGGAGAGGATGCTGCTGCCACGATCAGTGTCACGGAGACCCTGTCTGAGGAGGAGCAAGAAGAGCTGAGGAGCGAGCTTGCAAAGGTAGGGGAGCATTCCCTCCGGAACTTGCACTTAAAGCAAAGCGCCGTTTGGTTTTCTGAAGCCCTTGGTAACATCTTACAGTCAGTTCCGAGGGAGAGAAAGCAGCGTGTGTTCACTTGTCCTAGAGCGGGAAGAGCAGGTAGAAGAGAGAGAATCACTTTGTTTTTGCACGAGGGAAGGTATATATGGGTAACGTGGGTCTGGAAGGAGGGTGATGAGAAATGGATGAGACGTGTCTTCCTGCGTTTGATACCCTTGGCTTTTTGTCTGCATCCATGACTTTGTTCTACCCTGGGTTGTGGTTTGGATGTAGGCACCTTTGAACCTGCTCTCTCTCTCTCTCTCTCTCTCTCTCTCTCTCTCTCTCTCTCTCTCTCTCAGAATTAACCATTTATAGTGTACAGTTCAGTGGTGTTTAACACAGTCACAATGTTGTGCAACTGCCACTTCTGTCTAGTTCCAAGCATTTCCAGCACCCCCAGAGGAGACCCACATTCATTAAGCGGGCACCCCCAGGGCCCCCCTCAGCCCCTGCTGATCTGTTTCTTTGGATTAACTTGTTCTGGGTATTTCGTAGAAATAGAATTTTTCGACATGTGACCTTGTCCCTGGTTTCCATTGTTCAGCATGTTTGTGGGCGTCCTCCTCCTGTCCCATGTGTTGGTTCTTCACTGCTTTTCATGACTGGATGATATCCCATCGTCTGAATCTGCCGTATTTTGTTTATCCATTCATTCATCCGTGGACATTTGGGTGTTTCCACCATTTGACTCACAGATACGTACTGAGGCACATTTGTGTAAAAGGACTTGTTTGCGTACCTAATTTCAGTGCTTTTAGCTATAAACTTGGAGATGCTGTGTCATATGGTTATTCCACAGGACTCTTTGGGGAGCCATCAAAACTGTTTTCCGCAGCAGGGACACCATTTCACATGCCCATCAGTACGTCCTTGTGGCCAGCGTTTGCCATTCTCTGTCTTTTTTATTATAACTATCCTAGTGAGTATTAAGTGATGTCTTGTGTGGTTTTGATGCTGTTTCACTAGTGACCAGTGCTATTGAGCATCTTTTCTTGTGCTTATTAGCCATTTGCATGTATTCTTTAGAGAGATGTATATTCTGATCCTTTGCCCAGTTTTTCAAAAACTTTTTTTTGGTCTTTCTGTTGTTGAGATAAGAGCTCTTTATGAGATTTGCAAGGAAGTGTGTTTTCTCCCTCCTGTATGGTGCCTTTCTTTTTCTCCATAGTGTCTTACTGCACAGAAGTTTCACATGTGATGAAGTCCAGTTTAGTTTCTCTTTAATTGCTGGTGTTATATCTAAGAACTTATTTCCAAAACTCAGATCATGAAGATTTATCCGTGTTTTCTTCTAAGACTCTTAGAGCGTATATTTAAGCCTTTGATCTATTTTGAGTTAATTTCTGTATATGGTTTGTTGTCGTACAATTGTTCCTAGTACTATTCTCTTTTAACCTGTAAGGTCAGTAGTGAAGTTGCCACTTTCATTTCTGATTTTAGTTATCTGTGACTTCACTTTCATTTTTTGTCATTCCAGCTAAAGGCTTGTCAATTTTGTTGATTTCTTTAAAGAACCAGTGGGTTCCTTGATCTTCTCTGTTCTCTGTTTCGTTTACCTTCACTCTTACTGTTATTATTCCCTTCCTTCTGTTAGGTCTGGGTTTGGTTGTCTTTTCTTTTTTCTAGTCCTGTAAGCTATACCATCACATTGATTTGAGTCTTGCTGTTTCCTACGTGTAGGCCTTTAGAGCTGTCAGGTTCCTTTGGCGCCCCCCTTCCCTGCGCCCCCTGAGTTTTGTGTTGTGGTTTTGTCCATCTTGACCTAGATAAGATGGACAAGTTCCTAAAAACACATAAATGGTCATAACTGATCCTCCAAAAACACAGAAAACCTGAACAGACCCACAACATGTAAAGAGATTATATCAGTAATCAAACAAACCTCCCCAAAAAGTGCAAAACCCGATGGTTTTACTGGCGGATTTTACCAAACATTGGAAGAATGAATGCCAGTAAATTCTCCCACAAAAGAGAAGAGGTGAAACCTTCCTCACTCATTCTAAAAGGCCGGGATTAGCCTGATCCAAAAATGAGACCCATGTCAGCCTCGCCGTGTCCTGCCTGTGCTCGGGCTTCCTCACCGAGGTCTTTCCCGCTCTGCTCCCGGGGTGCCTCAGCGTCTCAGCCAGAGACTCGAGAGAGGCCTCGATGAGCCAGGCACCTCCTCACACCAGGCACCTCACTGTTGTTGGCCACACGGGGGGCCGCTGTCCTTGGAGCCGGGCCCACTTCCCACCACCTCCCTGAGGCTGGTCAGTCAGCAGCAGGCCCACAGGGACGTCCAGGGGGCCCAGCCGCTCAGGGAGACAGTGTGATTTCCTTGTGGCTGTGGCTTTGGCAGGCACTGGGGTGACGTTTCCCATACAGACGCATACGGTACATGCAGAGAGGCTGGGTGTTGTGCATGTTTTGGTGGTAGATGGAGATTAGCTTGAGTTGAGTTTGCAAATACCGGGTTTTACGGGCATTCGAGGAGCAATGTCCAGCAAGACATGTGGGCCAGAGGTCAGGCGAGGGATGTTAGGATGATGTGAATATTACCTGTGAAGGTTTGAGTCCTAAGCCTGGGAGACAGCTGAGTGAAGACATACAGGGACAGGGGAGAGGGTGCAGGACCGCTGAGGGCACCGCCACATGGAAATAGCCGGAGAGGAAAGAGAAGCCTCACAGGAGAGAGGAGCACATCACCATTTATTTAACAGCGTAGCCTATGTTATATAGCAAGAGACAGATACAGTGGTCAAACAGCGTTTCGAAATGACGTGAGGATTTGGAGTACAGTTTTGCACTAACAACTTTACCTCGTCGAATGACCTTGCTGTATTCTCACCCCAACCTCTTCCTGCAGGTGGAAGAGGAGATCCAGACTCTGTCTCAGGTGCTGGCTGCGAAGGAGAAGCACCTGGCGGAGATCAAGCGGAAGCTGGGGATCAGCTCCCTCCAGGAGCTCCGGCAGAACATTGCCAAAGGGTGGCAGGACGTGACCGCGACGCCTGCGTACGTCCCCGACCACACGCTGGTCTGGAGAATTAAAGGGCACCTTTGCCCCTTTTGTCTGGGGAGGGACTAGAAAGGCAGCGAGGACGGTTCTGCAGCTTGTCTTTGTACTAAGCCGAGTCCTTTCCCCTAGTTCTCAAGTGTACCTGACTCAGTCCTGTGACTTCAGCCTTTGAGACTGTTGCAGGGACTAGAAAGAAAACCAGCCTCAACATGAGTCAAGGAAATATCGTTTAAGTTCCAAAAGCGTTAGGTGTTGATTTGCCAGATCCGCACATGGCATTTAGTTCTCGGAGTAACAGTATAGAATGGGTGATGAGAGAACCCTGGACCAGGAGATGGGACCAGGGAAGTCGCAAGTCACATACCTGTCAGAAAGGGGGAGGCAGGGTCCTTCTGCCCTGCTCTCCACTTCCCAGCAGACTTGCAGGTCAGCACCTCTGACATGTGCTGGCGACAGAGGCCCGCCCCTTCATCTTTTAGTCATTTGGATCACGGGATGCATTTTGTTTCCGACACGAGGAGGAGCACAAGTCTAGCATTAGCTTCCGAGCTGTGCTCTCTGTCACCTGCATTCAGTCCCACCTGCTGAGCTGGGACCCGCAACAGCGAGGCCCACTGATCTGTCATGACTGCGCCAGGGTGCCCACCCCCCGGGCCCCCTTTCTGCCCAGACATGGAGGCAGTGGGGAGACATGCAGGAAACCGTTAAACTGCGTTTGTTTTTCATATTGATCGCAAAAGGGTTGTTCTTTCCTACAATGTGGATTCTGGACCCCTTTGCTGTGGGTACCGTATCCTTTTGTTCTGTTGCTGTTTTCCCCTTTGTTGATCTCTGGGGAGATGAGAGAGGGAGGCGGTGAGTCATCCCTGCGTGTCCCAGCCAACATCACAGTCAGGTGTCACGGTTATTCTAAATATCAGACCTTGAGGTTCTCTGGTGAGAGTCCAACAGCCCTTATCTGGTGGCTCTGCAGACGTGCAGCATTCAGCTATTCTTTATGCTCATTCGGTTCATTTGGATAATAAAGTGCACGTGGGCCGACCTTGCTTCTGGCCCCTTTTTAGGGGAGAAACTGGTAGAAGGTGTGTGAGGAATTTGATTTCATTTTTGTTTCGTTTGGCTTACCTGGCAAAGGCAAGGGCAAGAGGTGTCCTTTCTTTCAGCCTCTGGCTCATTGTCACTGTTGCTCCGGGATTACTTTTAGCCCTCGCCCTAACCTTGGCCTTTCCCAGGCCTTTGTCCTTCTGGCTGTCCGAGCAACGCAGAAGGTTGTGTCCACAGTGATTGTTAAGGATTTGGATGCCATGATGAGGCCGACCGGTGGTGGGGAAGGATTTTAGATGTTCTAGAAATAAAGGTTCACTTACTTTTCTTTGATCTGTTCTGTTCTACTTCCATGCAGATACAAAAAGACGTCTGAAACCTTGTCTCAAGCCGGACAGAAGGCATCGGCTGCTTTTGCATCGGTGGGCTCGGTCATCACCAAGAAGCTGGAAGACGTAAAGTATGTCCTGTTTTTTCTGGCTCGTTCTATGGCTGAGGCAGATGGCAGTGTGCTGTGGGTGCCTCAGTGCCCCGGCTCTGATTCCTGGTAACCCTGGATTCCGTGCCCGGGCAGCAGCACGCCTCCAAACCAGGCCCTGCTGGTCCCCCAGGCCTGGCCCTCTAACCTTTAGGTATAATGTTCACAGTAATCGCCTTATGAATTCATTTAAAGTTCTTGAACAATTCTGGTTGTGAACTTTTGTCCTTTGAGTCCTTCCTGATCATATGGAGTTAGTTTGTCCCTGTGGTTGCAAGTTGTAGTCGTTGGCCGAGCGTGGTGTCTCCCTGGGGGTGAGTCCAGGAGCACCAAAGTGCATGTGTGGCCTGAGACCTGCCTTGCCTTCTCCATGGTGCGTTTTCACACAGCAGTGACACTAGCACATTCACCTGTGCACGGCTATGCACTAATTTATAAGCCGTATCTGTGTTCCTGCTTATGCCCAAATCTTGATCTTGCACTGTTGCTTTTTATTTTGCATTTCTGTTGAGTCTGCAGAATTTTCCTGGCCATGTTGATAAACCCGCTTCCTGTGTGTGCCCCCACCGCCTGGATTAGAGTAACACTGGAAAGGGCGGATGTGGCTTTAATTGGCTGTGCTTCTGTTGGCATGAATGACTTGTTTTAAAAACAAAACCCTTAGATTGCATGGCTCTGTGCTCTTCATTTGTGGGGACAGATTTTACAACCAGAATTTTGTTGGCTGGACAGCTTTGGCAATCCGGGTATTAGTAGCCTTTGTACGAAGAATGCCAAAGAACTTGCTCTTTGCATTTGTTCTGCCGTTGTCTTGAGCATAAGGTGATGAGTGCAGCGTCCTTGAACCTGCTCACGATGACAGAACCCTGTCATGCTCTCAGCTCCTGTTGTGCTGGTTCAGCTGTGTGGCATTTCAGAATCCAGCTCAAACCTGACTTTGGAAAAGGGGGCGATTGAATTGTTTTAGATTTACCCGAACTTCCTTTCTTTTTTAATGCTGGCTCTGGCTTCTTGCAGATTGCAAGCCTTTTCCCACTCCTTTAGGTAAGGAGCGTCCGCGCCGTCAGGCGGCTCAGCTGTCGTCTGACGCGTGTGCTTCCTTAGGTTGTGGTGCCGAGTTGGATGGTCGTGTTTGTCCGCTGCCTGACTTTCTTGCATTTGGAATACTTTTCTCTCTGGTGCTGTTCCTGTGTTTTAAGGGAGGGTTTCTTGTAGTCCATGGGTAATGAATTGAAAGAAGTGTTGGACATTGTGGTTCAAGGGCTGTGCATATGATTTTGACATTTCTTTTTTACTTTCATTTTTTTAAAGAAACCTCTCTGCCATGGTGTGCAGAATCCCTCCCTTCTAACATCTGACTTTGTTTGGTGCTTTCATTTCTTTGGTACCCTCGTAAGGATGTGTCTGCCTGCTCCCACGTGCACGCGTGCCGGCCCGGCTCGCACTGGCAGTTTCCGTCTCCTACGCGCACTCCGAGTGTTCCTTATGTATGTGGCAGACTATACATACGATAAAATGTGTGTATGGTAAAACACACATAAGATAAAATATGCTATTACTCTGCACTTTTTAGTACCTATTTTACTAGCTTAAAGTTTTTACTATTATTTCTTTTCTGTCGTTACATTCTTTAACTGTGCACACAGGGACGTTTCCCCGGCGTTAAAGGGAAACTAAAGTCTATTGGGCCAAAAGGGAAGGCCCATCAAAAAGATGTCAGGCCAGACGGTGCCTTCCAGAAGGAGCCACCGCGATGCTGAGGGCACCGCTCGCCTGCCCGTACAGATGGCTGCGCATTAGTCAGGAGGCCAGGGTGGAGGGGTCCTCTGAGGGCAGGCAGAAGGCTGAGTGGTCGCCATCTCTGTCCTGCTCATGCGAACGGTCTTCTTGGTCACTCGCTATCCAGCTGTTTGTCTTCTTAAGCAAACGGGACTTATGGCCGAGGCCCTTCTGTCCTGGGGACACAGCCCTGCAGGTCAGAGTAAACGACAGGGATAAATGAAGTCTAAATATTGAACCATATAGAGCTAAAATTGTGCTTTAAAAAAGCAAGAAGTCAGTGATACGGGATTCTGTATCTTCAGTGTTCAATTAAAAATGGTCTAAGGCAGTGGTCGGCAAACTGCGGCTCACAAGCCACATGCGGCTCTTTGGCCCATTGAGTGTGGCCACGAAGTTTCAATCTCACTGTACATGCGCGCCCGCACATGGTATTTTGTGGAAGAGCCACACTCAAGGGGCCTCAGTTTGCCGACCACTGGTCTAAGTGATAGAGACTAAAGAAAAAAATACAAAAAGTCAATGAAAACAAGAACTGGTTTTTTGAAAGGATAAACAAGATTGATGAACTATTAGCCAGACTCACCAAGAAACAAAGAGAGAGGACCCAAATAAACAAAATCAGAAACGAAAGTGGAGAAGTAACCACTGACACCACAGAAATACAAAGGATTGTAAGAAAATACTATGAACCACTATGTGCCAACAAACTGGACAATGTGGATGAAATAGAAAAATACAATTTTCCAAAGCTCAATCAGGAAGAATCAGAAAACCTGAATAGTCCAGTAATAACTGATGAAATAGAAGCAGCAATCAAAAAAACTCTCAGTGGACGAAAGCCTGGGTCTGGATGGCTTCACAGGGGAGTTTTACCAGACATTCAAAGAAGAACTAACACCTATACTTCTTAAACTATTCCAAAAAATCCAAGAGGAAGGAACACTTCCAAGCTCTTTTTATAAACCCAGCATTATCCTAATTGTAAAACCAGATAAAGACACTACGTAGAAAGAGAATACAGGCCAATATCCCTGCTGAACATAGATGCTAAAATCCTCAACAAAATATTAGCAAATCAGATCCAGCAGTACATGAGAAAGATCCTACACCATGACCAATGGGATTTATTCCAGAGATGCAAGGCTGGTACAATATCCACAAATCAATAAACATGACACATCACATAAACAAATGGAAAGACAAAAATCACATGATCATATCAAAAGATGCAGAAAAAGCATTTGACAAAATCCAATACCCATATTTGATAAAAACTCTCAGCAAAGTGGGAATAGAGGGAGTATATCTCAACATGATAAAGGACATATATGACAAACCTACAGGCAACATCAGACTGAATGGGCAAAAACTAAAGTCATTTTCCCTAAGAACAGGAGCAAGACAGGGATGTCCACTTTCACCACTCCTATTCAACATAGCACTGGAAGTGCTAGCCACAGCGATCAGACAAGAAGAAGAAATAAAAGGCATCCAAATTGGAAGGGAGGAAGTAAAACTCATTATTCTCAGATGACATGATATTGTAAAGTAGAAAACTCTAAAGACTCCACCAAAGAACTACTAGACTTAATAAAGAATTTGGCAGTGTAGCAGGATACAAAATCAACACCCCAAAATCGATGGCTTTTTTAGAATAATGAATTCTCAAAGAGAAACTAAATAAACAATCCCTTTTACCATTGCAACAAAACAATTAAGATACTTAGGAATAAACTTAACCAAGGAGGTAAAAGACTTGTACTTGGAAAACTATAAGACATTGAAAAAAGAGATAGAGGGAGTTATAAACAAGTAGAAGAGTATACTGTGTTCATGGGTTGGCTGAATTAACATCATTAAAATGTCCATACTGTGCAAAGCAATCTGTAGATTCAATGCAATCCCCATTAAAATACCAACAGCGTATTTCACAGATCGAGAACAAATAGTCCAAAAATTTATATGGAACCAAAAAAGACCCTGAATAGCTGCAGCAATCTTGAGAAAGAAGAAAAAAGTTGGAGGAATCACAATACCATATATCAAGTTATACTGCAAAGCCACCGTAATCAGAACAGCCTGGTACTGGCACAAGAACAGAAAGATCAATGGAACAGAACAGAGAAGACCCCAGAAATCTACCCAAGCCATTACACTCAATATTTGACAAAGGAGGCAAGAGCATACAATGTTGTCAAGACAGTCTCTTCAGTAAATGGTGTTGGGAAAATTGTACAGATACTTGTAAAAAATAAAACTAGACCACCAACTTATACCATACACAAGAATAAACTCAAAATGGGTAAAATACTTAAACATAAGATGGGAAGCCATAAAAATCTTAGATACCAGACATATCTCATAGCAATATATTTACTGATACAGCTCCTAGGACAATGGAAACTAAGGAGAAAATAAATAAATGGACTACGTTAAAATAAAAAGCTGCACAGCAAAAGAAACTATCAACAAAACAAGAAAAACCACTGCATGGGAGAACATATTTGCCAATGTTAATCCTATAAGGGTTTAATCTCCAAAACTTATAGGGAACTCATACAACTTAACAAGTAAGACAAACCATCCAATAAAAAAAATGGGCAAAGGACCTGAATAGACACTTCTCCAAAGTGGACAGACAGAAAGTCAAGAGACATATGAAAACACGCTCAAAGTCACTGATCTATCAGAGAGATGCAAATCAAAATGACAATGAGGTACCATCTCATACCTGTCAGAATGGCTATCATCAACACATCAACAAACGACAAGTGCTGGTGAGGTTGTGGAGAAAAAGGATCCCTTGTGCACTGCTGGTGGGAATGCAGACTGGTGCAGCCATTGGGGAAAACAGTATGGAGTTTCCTCAAAAATTAAAAATGGAACTCCCATTTGACCCAGTAATTCCACTTTTAGGAATATATCCCAAGAAATCAGAAACACCAGTCAGAAAGAATATATGCACCCCTGTGTTTATAGCAGCACAATTTACAATAGCTAAGATTTGGAAACAGCCTAAGTGCCCATCAGCAGATGAGTGGATTAAAAAACTGTGGTACATCTACACCAGGGGTCCTCAAACTATGGCCCACGGGCCACATGCAAATACAAATATTGTATTTGTTCCCGTTTTGTTTTTTTACTTCAAAATAAGATATGTGCAGTGTGCATAGGAATTTGTTCATAGTTTTTTTTTTAAACTATAGTCTGGCCCTCCAACGGTCTGAGGGACAGTGAACTGGTCCCCTGTTTAAAAAGTTTGAGGACCCCTGATCTACACAATGGAATACTACACAGCTATGAAAAAGAAACTCTTACCATTTGTAACAGCATGGATGGACCTGGAGAGCATCATGCTAAGTGAAATAAGCCAGCTGGAGAAAGATAAATATCACATGGTCTCACTCGTTTGTAGAATATAATAAACAACATAAACTAATGAACAAAAATAGATCCAGAGACGCAGAAGACTGTCCAACCTCAGAGGGAAGGCAGGGGGTGGGGGTGGGGGTAAGAGATCAACCAAAGGACTTGTATGCATGCATGTAAACATAACCAATGGACACAGTAGGGGGGTGAGGGCCTATGCTGGGGTGTGGGAGCAGGCTGGCAGAGGCCAATGGGGGATAAAAGAGACCTATGTAATACTTTCAACAATAAAGATTTTAGAGTGCTCAGGGAAGACAAACAATCCAATCAAAAAATGGGCAAAGGACCTAAAGAGACTCTTCTCCCAAGTGGACATACAGGTGGCCAAGAGACATATGAAAAATGCTCAAAGTCACTGATGTATGCAATAGTAAAAAAGAACCTCTTACCCTCTGAGACAGCATGGAGGGACCTAGAGAGTATCGTGCTAGTGAAATAAATCAGACAGAGAAAGACAAGTATCACATGATCTCACTCAATGTGGAATCTTTTTTTTTTTTTTAATTTTTCTTTTTTTTTTTATTTAAATCTTTATTGTTCAGATTATTACATTTGTTCCTCTTTTTTCCCCCCCAAAACTCCCCTCCTCCCAGTTCCCGCCCCACCCTCCGCCCTCACTCCCCACCCACTGTCCTCATCCATAGGTGCACAATTTTTGTCCAGTCTCTTCCCGCATCTCCCACACCCCTTTCCCCCCCAAGAATAGTCAGTCCATTCCCTTTCCATGTCCCTGATTCTATTATAATCACCAGTTCATTCTGTTCATCAGATTATTTATTCACTTGATTCTTAGATTCACTTGTTGATAGATGCATATTTGTTGTTCATAATTT